TTATAAAATATATTATATTTTTATAGTTAATAAATACTTTTATTAGATATTTACTTCCTTTAAGATAGTATTTAAATTCCTTAATGTAATTAATAATTACTAAAAATTCCTTATTATAAATAGGGTATTAAAATTCTACTTTATATATTTTATAAAAATAAAATATAATAAAGTATAATATATTATTATTATTATATTATTCTATTTATCCTCTTAAGATAAAGTTAAAAGTATTAATCTTAAGTTTAACTTATTATTTTAGGTTAAATATAATTAAAATAGATTTACTTATAATAGCTATTTTAAGCTATTTAAAAGCTTTTTAAGCCTTATTATTTTATTTAAAAATTTTATTTTTCTTTATAATCTTAATAAGTAATATAGTAATTTTACTAAAATCTTTAATAAATTATTAATAATAGTTAGTAAATTCTAAAAAGGACTATATCTTTTTAACTATAATAAGTACTTTCTATTTAGTAATTATAGTAATTTTATATTTATTTATTTTAATTTTATTATATAAGATTTTATATCTTAGGTATATAACTTAATTTTAGTAAAAATAACTTTTTATAGGTTAAATAAATATATTAATATCTTATAGTACTTTTAAGACCTTATAGATATATTTTATATACTCTTTTTTTATATTAAAAAAGATAAAAATATTATTTAAGTAGTATACTATAAATATATTAAGGTATTCTTAAAGTATACTTATAATTATAGATTAAAATATTATTAATATATTTATTAATTTAAAAGGCATAACTAAATATTTAAATAATTTATATTTTATTTTAAAGGCTATTTTTTATTTATTACCTTTTTTAATTTAAATAAGATTATATATAGACTTAAGATTAAGTGCTATAAACTATTTTTTATTAAATAAGCAGTCCTTAAGTTTAGTAGTAAGTAATAATAGTATTTTATCCTTTTCTATAATTTTATTTAGTTATTAATAGTTTACTATAAGTTATAGTTTATTCAAGTTTAGCTTTAATATAAATATAATTAGGTATCTTATTAAGGATTTTAATATTTTAATATATTCTTTTTTTAATATATTTTTTATCTATTTATTAAGCATATTAAGCTTTAATTTATTAAAATTATAAATTTAAAAGAGTTTTAGGTTTTTACTATCTTTTAATATAATTTTAATATTTTAGTTTATATATTAAGGTAATTTTATTTTTAATTCCTTTTAAAATAGTTTTTTATAGATATAATACTTTATAGATATATTTTTAAGTTATTTATTAAATTACTTTTTAGTAATTTATTTTATCTTTTAGAGGTTATAATTTAATTATTTAAACTATCTTTTAAGAGTTACTATTATTTATTTAATATATTTATTTCTGCCTTTATAGAACTTATATTATATTCCTTTTAAAATAGGTAATATTTTATTATTTTAATCTTTACTGCTCTCTTTAGTTAAAATTTAAGATTTTATATTATTATTATTTAAATTAATTTTATTATCAAAAAGGTAATTTTTATAGATTATTTAATTAATTCTTTAGTTAAATTATAAATTATAATATACTAACTATAAGTATTTAAGCATTAAATTATATTTTTAAGTAAAAATAATATTAAAGTTAATACCTTAATTCTTTTTATTAATAAATACCTTTAAGTAATTAATCTTTTAGGTAATATTTCTATTTTTATAAGTATAGGCACTTCTTTCTTTACTTTATACTATATAGGGTTTTTTCTTATCTCTTTATAGTAGCTTTAGCTTATTAACTATTTTAAGGAAAATAAGGTTTATAATAGCTTTACTATTTATAAGTATATTTAAACATTTACCTTTAATTTTAATTTTTAAGTTTAGGTATATTTATTATTATTTATTAATTATAGTTTATAGAGCTTTTATAGAAAGTTTATTTTTTATTATTTTTTTATTTATTTAGCACTTTATTATAGATAGTAGGTTTTTTTTCCCTATAGGTAATTATAGCTATATTTACTCTTATAGCAGTTAATATTATTAAGGCAGTTATATTATATAGCTAGTTTATATTAAAACTTTATCTTTACTTTATATATTAATTATTTTACTTTATTATTATATTATAGTATTTTATCTATTTAGCTGGTTTTAGAGGTATTACTTTATTTTCTTTTTAGCCTATTTACTTTTATAATAGCTTTATAAATATCTTTATTTAGGTTTTCCTCTTTTTTATTTAGTTTATTTTAAATATATTTTCTCTATTTTATAATTTATTTAAAGTTTTAAATATAATTTAAGGCTTATTTTTATATTTTAATATATACTATAAATTTAATTACTTAAGTCTCTTTATATATTCTGGCAATTTAGTATCTTAAGGTATTAATAATTAAATAGGGCTTTTATTTTTTATATTCTTTAATTTATATTAAAAAGTAGTTATTTACTTTCTTATTTTATTAGTATTATAGATAGTAATATTATATATATAATATTTAAAATATCTATTAATAGTTTAGGTATTTTAAGTACCTTTAAGGGTCTTTTTTAATTTAGACTTTTTTTTTAGGTATTATTAAATCTTTTACTTTATTTTTTATATATAATTAAATATAGATAGTATTATCTTATTTTATAATTACTTTTTCTTTAGCTAGTTTTATATATTTAATTACTTTATTAAGCTATATTTAGTTTTTAAATTTATTAAATTATAGTATATAATTTATATTTTAAATAGTTTAATCTACCTTTCTTTTAATCTTTTTAGTTTTAAAGTCTTAAATAACTTTTAAGGCTAATATATAGTTTAAATTATTATAGTATTAATTAGGTTATTTTATTATAACTTTAATAAAAATGTTATTTACTGCTAAATAGGGGTTATATTAAATAGTATCTCTTTTTATTTTAAGGGATATTTTTACTCCTTAAACCGAGAAAGCGCTGCTGTTGCCTCCGTTTTGGGCGGAAAGCGTCGCCATTTTAAGAGGCACGAGCAGTGCGGGAAGTCCAGCGACAGGAGGTCGCGGGGCAGGTACTATATACCTCGAGGGCCGGCTCATGCACGGACCCCGTTACACGTCCCGGAATGACATGTGCCCGTCTGAGTGTCTAGTTTCGGCTCCCCTCCTTCTTCCCCTTTCATCACCAACACAGGTCTAAATTCAGCACCTGGGCGCGTCCGTTTTCTGTTTCCTGTCGTCACCCGTCATGAATCCATCTCTTGCCGCCCAGAATAGGCATACTCGAGCTGCCATGGCGGCCTCTTCAGTGTGCTATAAATCGGCAGCGCCGTCTCTGCCATCGGCGCCCTCAGCTGCCCAATTTACATCCGCTTGAGACGTGTCGTCGTTGATCGCCGCCATTCTCCCTTCTTSACCCAATGTCCACCGCCATGACGATAGCGCGGCGGCCTGCTGCAACGCGCGATCTACACCAAGGCAATGTCGCCTTTCTTCAAAGCTTTGCTGCCAAAGAGGCCCAGAGGCGAGCTGCGAAGCAGAAGCCGACGCTGTCAATTGA